AAAAAAAAAAAAAAAATAAGTGTAGAAGAAAAATTATTGACCTCATAATAATTAACCATGCAAAATGCAAGAAATTACAGAAATAATCGCTCTACCGTACGTCCGTTTACCCCTTCGTTTCCACCCTATAAGTTCAGGCCCAAACTGCTCCTCACAAGCATGCCACACAATACAAGAGAAGTTAATTATTATTAGCTAATAATAAATACTAAACCAAAAAATTAAGGAAAATAATAATAATAAAAAGAAAAATGGCAAAGGTTATTGGTCTCGTCTTTGCCCTCTTCGTCCTGGCCTTTGCCACCATTGCCCAATGCCACAAACAGGAAGTGTTCACAGTCGAGGGCGATGTTTATTGCGACCCCTGCCGTGTTCAATTCCAAAATCCCCTTAGCGAGAAGCTTGCAGGTAATAACTATTTACGGAATGATTCCGTGTAACGGGATCGTAGAATCTCTCATATGATACTATGAAATATTACATTTTTGTTTGGCTTGATCAGGGGCTGCCGTGAAGTTGGAGTGCGTGAACCTGGAGACGAAGGCGGTAACATACAGCGTGGAAGGGGTGACGGATGGGACTGGAAAGTATAGCCTGAAGGTGAGTGGGGACCACGAGAATGACTCGTGCTCCGTGAAGGCCGTGAAGAGCCCGAAGCCCGAGTGCAGCGAGCCCTTGACCGACGTGGAGCTGTCGAGGGTGGATCTAACCGAGAACATTGGGATCCACTCGGACGTGCGATTCGCCAACCCGATTGGGTTCATGACCAAGGACCCGCACGCTCAGTGCATCTCTGTCCTCCAAGACATTTTCTCTGATCAGGACTAGATATCTTTTTTTTTGGGCCCTTTTTAATGTGATTTTTATTTATTTATTTATTTTGTTATATGATACTTAAACAATAATATTGTTATTGGAGATTGGCTTCTTCTTTTTTCCTTTTTGGGGCTTCTCATGTTGTGTGTAATCGGTGACCAATGAGGTGTGACCGGTGGTTTTATATAAATAATATTGCAATAATCAAACATTGTAATTTTTTTTTTGGAGGAGATGGGATTGGGACTATGAGCATAAATTTCGGTTCCTTTGCTTGGACGGATGGGATGGGAACTTCTGGCTCATTCTTATTTGAAATGACACGAGATTAGTATGAGAAATGTCAAACACTGTTTCGTTACAGAATTATTCCTTTAGAATTTGTACACGTTAAATCATCGTGTAGTTGTTGTGGATAGTTGATCTAAATTTACAAACCCCAACAAAATAATTCCATTACGAGACCGTAGAATTCCCCATTCATATAATTAAAATGATCCGTGAGCATAATTTGTGTACAACTATGTACATATTAGTATCGTTTGGATTGCACCAAAAAGTATCGTTGGGATTTGTTAGGGCGTAACTTTTTAGGGGATGCTTGATATAAATTCTATTAGTTTTGTTTTGTTTATGGTTTGATTTTATTATTTTGGAAAATGCGGTATAATTAATTATTGATCGAATTTTGAGTTTATATTAAAATAATAGTTAAAATAGAAGATTAAAATTTATTTGATTTAAATGTAAGAAACGGATGATATTAAATGATGGTGGCTTATAATTATGTAAGTGGATAAATAGTAAATTACAATTGATGTAATGTATAAGTATGATTAATTATATTATTTAATTATATTAATTATATTAAAAATAGTGAGTTTGAGTTAAAGTTGAATTATATTTATTTTGTGCTTGAACTTTTTTAGTTATGATTGTCATCCAGTCACACCCTTAGAGCATCTCCAATGATATCTTGTCTATTTTGGGTTGCATGACATGAAAGAAGGAGATTAAAACATTGTGTCTCCAATGGTTAAGGTTAAAGATGGTTTAATCTGACATGTGTAATTTTATAATTGGTTGAAAGAAAGAAAAAATTGAATAAATAATATAATATATAATAGAAGTTGTCTAGAAGTACTTCTAGATCTAGAAAAACTTCTTAGAATTTTTTTAGGCCACCTAGAATTTTTTGTGCCATGTGGCAACAAAATGAGACAATTTAAAAGCCATTGGAGATGCTTTTAAGCCTAGATGTGACCAAATATTGGGTCGGCGGGCCTCAAATGCTGGGCCCAAAACTGCCCCCGCTTTATATAAATTTGAATCGGCCCGACCCGACGGTTCATTGAAGTGCCAATTTTAAAAAAAAATAAAATACTATAAAAGAAAAAACAACTAGGACCTATCGTTCGACCCGGAACTCAAGGGTCAAAAAAAGAAAAGTAAGACCCGAAATAATTGGCCCGGTTTCATCACGGATCCCATTCC